CAGACGAGATCTCACCAGAGTCTTGTATAATGGTACTAACACTTCTCTGTCTGTACTGGAAATACCTCACCTGATGCATCCTAGGACTGTGTTAGCCTTTTTCAAAGCCCCATCACATTGGCGGCTCATAGTCACCATGTGATCAAACAAAACAGCCCAGGTCTTTCTCCTCCTCTGTCACTACCAACTAATATGTCCCTGGCTTATAGCAAAAATTCTTGTTGTTAGCCCCTAAATGCATAACCTTCCACTTAGTGCACTATTAAATTTCATCCCATTTCTATTACTCCAGTTTTCAAGGTCATCCAGATCTTCTTGTATGATATTTTGGTCCTTCTCTGTATTTGCAATATGTTCCAACTTTGTGTCATCTGAAAATTTTATTAGCAGACTCTCACTTTTTGTGCCAAGGTCATTAATAAAAATGTTAAATAAGATTGATCCCAAGACCGAATCCTGACAGTCCACCTTCCAGGGTGACCCATTGTATTCTCCCGTTCAACCAGTTCCTTATCCGTCTTTCAATTCTCATATTAATCTCCATCTTCTCTAATTTAAGTAATACTTTCCTATGTGGAACTTTATCAAATGCCTCACTGAAATCCAGGTAGCTCAGAGTTAGGGTTAGGGTTTCCTCTTTATTTCCTCTGTCTAACAAATCAGTTATCTTCTCAAAGAAGGTGATCAGGTTGGTCTGGCACAATCTACCCTTTGTAAAGTCATGTTGTATTTCATCCCATTTACCTCTATGTCCTTAACTCCTTTCTCTTTGAAAATTTGTTCCATTGGTAATGGTCTCACTAACGCTGTAGGGTATTGCAATAGCAATACCAACTCCCTACTTTTACTCACTATTCCCTGCTTATACATCCAAGAATCACACTGGTCGTCTTAGCTGTGTGTCAGACTGGGAGCTCATGCTCGGTTGGTATCCACCATGATGCCTTAGTACCTTTCAGAATCCCTGCTTTCCAAAATCAGTCCCCATTCCTGAAAATGTGACCTTTAGTCTTTGTTCCCAGATGTATGGGCCTTGCATTTAGCTCTATTAAAACACATATAGTTCAAGGGAACCCTGCTTACCAAGTGATTTAGATTGCTCTGTAAAATTAAATTGTCCTTATCATAACTTACTATGCCAGTAATTTTTATGTCATTTGCAAACTTTACCAGCAATGATTTTATACTTTCTACCAAATCATTGATATTGAGTAGCATTGGGCCAAGAAAAGATCCCTTCAGGACCCTATTCGAAACAGCCCTATTGGCTAATGTTTCCCAATTTATAATGACTTTTTTTTAGATCTGTCAGCCAGTTTTAACTCTTTTTAAATGGACTACTTTGATTTTGGTACAAAAATCAGGGATGTAACGGGAATAAGTGTCTGTCCACCCATCCTGCAGCTTCTGTCCAGATTTTCTGGTCTGTGTGCACAGTGGGGAAAAGCGAGGTCTGTGGGCAGAGAGAGAGGTAGAGGCTGAGTGGAGCCTCGGCTCATCTTCCCCTTCACCACTACCACCACCATGTCAGCCAGTGCAGCTGAGCTGGTTCAGTGGGCAGAAGTAATCAGCACCTGGTAAAGAACTAGGGGGTAATACTTCACACTGCCACAAGGAACAAAACTGGGTCTCTGAGTCACAGGTCCATCCTTGTACTGCTCCCGAGGCAGTGCAGCAATACCCTAGCCCTAACACAGGGCAAATGGTTGTCTCATTCTAGCCCTAAGTCTCTGATTTAGTATGAGGAAAGGGGGTCAAATCTGCCCTATAGAAATATTGGCTTAAGGAGAGAGTGAAGGAAATTAAGCTGGCCCTCTTTTCTAATTCTAGGAGTGGCATCTGAATGTGTAGCACACAGACTCTTGTGGGCATATCAGAGGCACGTAGCACACTTTGGGTGCTTATAAAAAAATAAATAGATAGTTGTTGTTATTACAATGACAAGTAGTTTTTCCTGTCAGTGGCCTTAACTTTGTCATCAAAGCTAAACATTTTAAAACACTATTTGAAATGCCTATTTAACTGCTGAATGTAGAGCATATGTTAATACACTTTTCTCCAGATACAGTAGTGTATGATAAACGTTACCAGATTTTCTTACTATTCCTATTTTATGCTACTAAATGCTAAGACAAATGGGCCCACTGAAAAAGTATTTCCTTTGGAGGACGCAATCTGCAGGCCACCCGTGTAATATGCAGAAATAATTGTGTAGGGATAAAAAGCAAGAGCAAAACTTTATTAAATTAGACTTCAGATGGACAAAATAAACGATAGCAACATAAAATTTTAATGTAGATGTTGCTGGAAAATAAAAGAAAGGTAATTAAAATATATTTTGAAAAAAGAATACAGTGTATTCCCTTTGTCACATAATCCAGTACATCGCATCACAGCAGGGTACGGATGTTAAACTTTGTAATAATTGCGTGTTTTTGACAAGCATCTGATAGATGTTTGAAAGAGTGTCTAATTCTTCACTCACTCACACTAGCTTTACACCAGTATAACAAGAATTGATTTCAGTGCAATGACTCCTGATTTGTATTTATGTAAGGGAGATCATAATTTGGCCCTAAAACTGAAACATCACCACGAGGACAATGACAGATCCTGACATAATCAGAGACCTTAGTTTTGAATCCTAAGGTCTCTTCCAAACCTAAACTTAATAATTTTGGAAATGCTCAGTGATATAGGGTGAAATCCTGGCCTCATTGAAGTCAATGGCAAAATGTCCATTGATTGTAATGGGACCAAGATTTAATTGATAATCTCTTTATTATATTTAAATATCATAGGGGACATTTTCAAAGACACAAATAGGAGTTAGACATCCAACTCCCATTGACTTTCGAGCAATATACCCTGGAAGAGTTTTGTACCTTGTCTACTTAGAGACAATATCGGCAAACAGCAAAAGTGTAGGCAGTGCCGCCAGAATTTCTTGAACCACAAACCACTCTTTGCAAAATGAGTAGAACATTGGAAAGCATCAAGATCTTAAGCTTTTGTGATTATAGTTAGCAAATAATATGAATTTATTACTAGAGGGTCTTTTGTTGTTGTAAAGAGTTAATTTCTTCAAACAAATAACTTTAAGATTTTGAGCCTGACTTTGCCCTGAGTCACATAGTGGGAATCACACCTGTGCACTGTGTACATATCATAGTTGAGAGTAAAACTGAGTAAACACACATAGGCAAATGTGGATAATGGGCTTTCTCCTACAATAATTCATGGGCAGTGGTAGCTGAGGGATGGATTTGCATCAAGCTTGAAGTTCCATGAAGAACAAATAAATAATAGGTGAACACTACATAGTACCAGGCAAGTTATAAAAGCTACTGCAATTGGGTAGAAAAAACAGTTTGTCAAATCTTTGGGTTTGTGAAATTTGTGGGTTTTTTTATGCTAGCAGAATTATTTTCTTTAAAAAATATAATTGCATTGAAATGTATCCTTTCTTTAAGGACTAGATAATTCTTTTGAAAAGACCTTATATAAAGGCTCCTTGGCATAGAAGGCAGTGTTGGATCTTTGCTGACAGACAGCCGTATTCTGACACTGGTTTTTATGTAAAACTCACACTGATTTCCATGGGTGCTTCACATCTGGAACAATGGCAGGATGTGTCCCAAAATGGGGATAACACCTGAAAAACTTTAGAGAAACCCAGCAATCAGTAGTCTGTGGACCTGGGAACATCACAAAACTGCTTTAAAGAATTATCTTATCATCAAGGGCCAGATCCTACAAATAGATCTGTCTGGACAGAGCCCCCCCATCTGCACAGGGCCGCCCATCAGCTTCTGTTTTGAAGTTTTCAAAGGGGCTTAAGTGGAACAAGGACCTTGTGCTGGGCCTCTGAAGAGGGGCAAATTTGACTCTTCGGGCAGGATCCAAGTGTAATGTGACTAATATTTTTCCTTCAATGTTTGTATTGAAAGTTAAATATTCACCTGTTTCTTTGAACTGGAAATATTAGATTATTTATTATTTTTTAAAAAATCATGTTAAAATCAGATATTAAAAAGGTCAAAACAGGCTGTGTGAATGATCTTTTTGGAAAAGAAACGAATTCCCAGATTTTTTTTTCTATTAGCATATTTATGAATTGTCCTTAAAATAGTGCTTATATCATCAATTAGTTTTGCTGTGTTAGGTTCTTTCCAACTGGTTTTTTTTTCTGAATCACCTCTTATAGATTCCACAGAACAATATTCTTTTTTGAAAAAAGCAAAAATACGAAGGCTGTTAGCTTGCACTAGCTCAAACCATATTTTCTACAAAATCCACCCTTCTAAAATGTTTTTCTAATCTTTAAATTGTGTGTGTTCCAGATGGCTTTAACCAACTCTTACTCCATAGTGTATCACAAATTAACTCAAGGAGGCATTATCTCAAATGGCACTGATTTCTCTGTTTAAATAGAATGTTATATCAAGAAAGTCGCTTTTGATATAATAAAACAAAGACAACAATAAACTAATTCTCATCAAAGGGATTTGTTACTGTTGCATCTATAAACATAGATGAACGGTTTTGATGCTGATGCTGTTACTAGTCCCTAGCTAGTCACAGTGCTTATCCTGCTTAGATAACAAAATATGTCAATATAAAGGGTCAAAGGAACAAGGAACTATGAAGCGAGCTGTAGCTCACGAAAGCTTATGCTCAAATACATTTGTTAGTCTCTAGGGGGCCACAAGTCCTCCTTTTCTTTTTGCAGATACAGACTAACACGGCTGCTACTCTGAAACCTGGAATAAAATGATGTTATCAGAGAAAGTTTCATCTATAAACTCTTGTTTAAACCAAGTTCCAAAACAGAAAACAGAGATCCCAAACTTTCTGTATACCTTCTTAGAATAGGACAGATTTGCTAATAAATCTAGGAGTGAACAGGAAAGAAGAAAGGACTGCTTATAGCTAAAATATGCTAAGACATTCGCAGCACCTGGCATGGCTTAAAACTAAATTGCGTTATCTTACTGTAGGTTCAGAAAACTGTCTCAAACAGAAGCTGAGAACACCTCGTCGACGATGTCAGCAGCCCAAAATGCTGAATAGCCCTGAGGACAACATGTACTATAACCAGTTAAATGTGAGTTCAAAGTGGCAATAAAGCTGTTTTACTGGCTTTGTTTCCAGTTAATAATTCGGTTATTAATACCTGTTCCAGCCCCTCCAGCCCCACCCCCACGTTCTTTTGCTCTCGTCTTGAACATGTGCTTATGCTCTTTATCTGTTGCTTTCATGTCAGGATGTCTGCCTTCACGGTGAATAATTGATGTGGTTTATCAAAGACGAGCAAGATGCATGCTTCATCAGGCTCACTTGAGCCCTTTGATCAAAAAAATTATGCTGTGACTTCTGATATTATCAGCATCTGCTTGCATTCAACACAAAATCACTTTGAATTAAAAATTAACGACTTGCTGCTTTGCTTTGACTGTGTGTTCTTGGCCCTCTCCACAGGGAACTCTAGAATATCAAGGGAGCAAGAGGAAGCCAAGAAAACTTGGGTAAATATCTATCTTCTTAGTTCTAAGCAACTGTAAACAGAAGAAGTCCTTTGTGATATTACAGAAAATGAAAAACTTTCTAGAGAAGTTTCTAAAAATAAACAATTACCATATCTCAGTGCATTGACATTGGACATTTTCTACAGAAGCAAATATAAAACATGTATCTAATACTGTTTGCAAACACTAGAACTGGCTCTTACAAAATATTCTCCCCAACTCTCTCTCTCAATACAACTCAAACAAATTTTAGCTTCCTGTTTTTAAATAAACAAATTTAGTCATAGTAAAAGGTGCTGGACTGAGAGTCTTTGAGGTTGAAGCTCATTAGCCTACAGCAAGCATAACATGGATAAAAGCCATGCAGGCTTCCTCTCACCACCCAAGCAATATGCTTCAGCCCTGCCTCAGGAGGGACCAGTTCTAAGAGAAGGCAGAGAGGGGAGTTCTTTCCTAAAAAGGGTTGTTCTTTGCCCACTAGCTCTCAGCTAAGACTGCCACCAGTGGTACTAATTAGTACCACTTGTAACGTGGATGCTTTTCACCAGGAGGTGGGCAGAGATCACTATTGCATTTCACAAAAGCCACCATCCAGCAGTAACAAATTTCATGTATTACTGACTTGCGCAGCAACTAGTGCTGGATGAACACAGCAAAGACATATTAATGAACCCTCAGGCAGTGACACCCATACATTTTCTTTGATGTATTTTGACCCTTTTTTATTCATTTTCTGCAGATAGTTATATAAGTGACTTTCTTTTGTTCACAACAATGTTCACGGAAAGTGAAAGTCTTGTGGATACTAATGCAAATGGGGTTTGTGAGAAGGTTCAAACCGGAATTGTTTGCATGGCTGTCTTGGTAGCTCTTTGAGTTACCTCCTCCAGTTTATAAAACTCTGTCCCCCAGTCGGGGAGCAGAAATAATACTATGTAATTTCGGTGTCCAATCATACATCATGAGAAGCTGAAGACGCAGTTGGAGCAAATAGGGCCTGATCCAAAACCCGCTGAAGCTAATGAAATTCCCTTTAGTGGGCTTTGGATCAGGCCCATAGTTCACAAACAAATGTTTGCCCATGGAGTTCGAACAATTCTGAATAATGAACGTATTTGTGAATATCAAAGTCTGTGTGTGGAAAATTTTCAATCAGACAAAAATGCTACATTTGTGAAATAAAATACTTGATACAAATAATTGCTGTGACTGTACTGCAGACCTAGAGATGAAAGGCTGTGTGACCTGTTACCAATCCTCAGAGCCATTCAGTTCCCACAGAGAGATTTAAAGCACTGAAAAGTGGCAGCAAGATTGAGAGACATGTACAAAGGCTGCATCTTGTTAACAAAATCATCCCATCTTTTCCCCTTCTTGTATTAACACTTTTTCAGTGTTTTCATTTCACCATCCACAGAGAGGTATATTTCTTAAGGTTTTGGAGAACTACTTTGTACTTTTTATTTTATATACTTAATAAAAATAGTTTGTTTTGTGTTTTGTTTCAAAGCCAGATCAAAGTGCTTGATGGGGAGGATGAATATTACAAATCATTGTCAGCTGTCGAATCTATCACTGAAGATGACAACTCACTCAACCCCACATCTTCTCTTTCCTCAAGAGGAGCGTCTTTTGCTCAGAGCTGAACTTCACCATTTATGCTTTGGTCTAATGCTGGTAAGAGTCATTGCATGTGTTTAGCAAATCTGGTTTGCATGTGTGTCTGAGAGAGAGACAGACATAGTTACAGCTTATGAAGCCTCTTGCAAAATTAGACCCTGATTCTGTAAACACTACCCACCTGAGTAGCTCCATTTAACTTTACTCATATAAGAATTCCTGTTGAAGTCAATAAAGTTACTTGTAGATGTAAGTGTTCGCAGGATCAGGCCCTAAATAGGCATCCCTTCTAAAACAGGATACTGTATAATTTTAAACTCGGCAGCATGGCATTGCAGAACTGGGACTGGGACTTTGTATTGACGTTCAGCATAATTTGAGGTCACAGTAAAAATATTATATGTCATATAGGCCTTTCAGAACTTCATATGTTTTTTTAAAACTACAAAGAATTAACACAATAAAAAGCATTGTGTAAAAACCATTTAAAATGCTGAATATGTATCTCAGAATTTATCTCATAAGATAGTATTTAATGAGAGAGTATTTAATTTAGTAATGTTCATACTTTCCCTGAAAGAGTTACCAAAAAGAGTGGGGGTGCTGAGAGCCATTGAACCAAACTGTAAACCCTGTATATAATGGGAACCACTTCAAGCCAGGGGGTGCGGCAGCACCTATGAGTCAACATAGTTTTTAAAAGGAATTGATACAAAATAATTTAGTGTATAATTGTATAGGGCACTTTTGACTAAAACACAAGACTGGGTTCCCTTCTGAGATCTACGTAATCTTAGATACATTATCTAATCTCTCTGTGCTGCAGTTTCCTCATATGCAAAATGTGGATAGCATTTCCTTGCCTCTTGTGTGTTGTGAAACTTAATTCATTTAGGGTGAAATTCACTGTCCATTGAAGTCAATGAGGTTTAAGCACGCCTAATTTAGCATATGCTAACATGTATAGGGACATAGGAACTGCCAGAATTGCTCAGACCCAGATTGCTCTATCCATCCTGGCTGGCAGTACCCTGTCTCCAACAACAGTCAGCACCAGAAGATTCAGAGCAGGATGTACGAACTTTGCAATAGGCAGATGTTGTGTGATCTGCCCCCCACGTTCTGTCTCATCCTAATCTCAACTATTTAGGTATTACCTTAAACCCTGAAGCATGAGGTTTAATATCCCTTCCACAGAAATATAATGTCATTAATTATGAGAACTCTGGATATTCTTGATATCAGTACTCAAACCCCTTTTTGAATCTTGTTAAGCTCTTGGCCTCAATAATTTCCTGTTGCAGTGAATTCCATAGTATAATTACCCATTATATGAAAAAGTATTTCCTATGTCAGTTTTGAATTTCCCTCCTTTTAATTTAACTGAATGTCCCCTTGTTCTTGTATTATGAGATGAAGGACAGAAGGTCCCAAACTCCCTTCTCTAGACCAGTCGTTATTTTGTGTTCTTTTATCATGTATCCTGTTATTCATCACTGTTCGAAGTTAAACAATCCCAAACCTTTTCATTTCTCTTCATTGGAGACTTTTCAGTGCCTTTGATCATTCTTGTTATCCAGATGAGGCCACCACTGATTTACATAAAGGTGGTATAATAGTCTCTGTAGGATTTGCCATCCTATTTCTTATCCATCCTAAAATCTGGTTTGCTTTTTGACCACAGCTGCACATTGATGGGAGGTCTTCTTTGAGCTGTCAACACCCAGATCCCTTTCTTGAGCCGATACAGTTAATTTAGAACCCTGTACGATTGTTAAACTACCCTGTCTGAGTAGTTTAAATTTTCCTCTCCAATGTGCATTACTTTGCATTTACTGACATTTAATTCCATTTGCCACTGTGTTGCCCAGTCACCTAATTTGTTTAGGTGTCTCTATGTCATGTATGGTCCCAACTAACCTAAATAACTTTGCATCATCTGCAAATTTTGCCCCCTTTCCAGATCATTAATAAATAAATTAAACAACACAGGACCTAGTATAGAACCATGAGACAGCTCACTGTTAACCTGATACCATGATGAAAATTAACCATTTAATCTTACTCTTTGCTTTCTGTCTTCCAGACAACTTTTAATCCATGACAATATTTTGTGTCTCACCCTGTGACTGTGCTTCTTCAGTACCCTCCTATGCAGGACCTTGTTGAGGGCCTTTTGGAAGTCTAAATAAACAATATGAACCAGTTCTCCCTTATCCACTACTTCACTGACAAGTTTAGAGAATTCTAAAAATTAGTGAGACATGATTTTCCTTTGTAAAACCATGCTGGTTAGTCTCTGTCATATATTAGTAGATCCAAGCACTGCGCTGAATTGGGGCACAGTGCCCATAACCCTTCACTTAAGGGCTGAGAGAGTCCCAGGCTTTGACTGCACTAAAAAGGATTTGCCAGCTATAGCCAGAGGTGAAAGTAAGCCGGCCCGGCCCGGCAGTAAGAGCTGGTACATAGCAATGGCACCGGCCAGGAGCCCAGGGCCCTTTAAATCACTGCCAGAGCCCTGGGGTAGCAGTAGTGGTGGTGGCAGCCGGGAGCACCAGCCCCTTTAAATCACCGCCGGGCCGCGCTGAAGGGCTGGCTGGGGGAGTCTGGTCCCAGCCCCGCCCCTTTTACCAGAGGCCCCGCCCCTTCCAGTTGAGCGCCCCTCCCCTCCCTACACACACCTTGCTCAGGACCTTGGCCACCCTGCATACAGGTAAGTCCCTTAAGTTACTTTCACCCCTGGCTATAGCTGTACTGGTAACCATTCTAGTGGGAATGCAGCTTATGCCAGTTTCCTGAACAAAAGAAGCTACACCAGCAAAAGGACTTTATAACTTGTATAACTGCATCTATGTAGAGCTTTTACTGCCATAGCAATGTCCTATCTTCTGTGAACATGGAGGATAATTAATCACCGTCCTTTTTATAATAGGCCTTAACATATTTGAAGACTCCGATCAGGTCCCCCCTCAATCTTCTTTTTTCAAGATTAAACATGTCCAGTTTCTTCAATCTTTCCTAAAGCTTTGGGCCAGGAAAAAGGAGACAGACAGGAAGTCTAGCAGAAGCCTCAGATCTCTCCTAGTTGTCACAGTACTGTTCCTGCAGTCTGGCTTACGAGGCTGAAAGTGAAATTTAAAAAGAATATTTCCCATTCATGTTCTTCTCTTCAATCTCCACCAAAAACCTGACAGAATGGCTGGCAAGATTAAAGGCCAAAGAGCTGCAAGCAATGGGCCATGACCTTGGATTATGGAGAACACTGAGTGTGTGAGGGTGCATGTTAGAATCTTTAAAATACAGATAGTTCTGAATGAGAACATGTGGGCAGCTGCCAATGAGTTAGTGAAATCCAGAAGTGCAGTACAAATATGGCTGGTAACTAATACGATGGATGGATGTTTGTTTCTCTCTCTCCAGAAATCTCTTGGATGCCCATCAGCCTCTTTCCATCTCACTAAAACTTGCCATGAATGAGCATCCTTTGTACTATCTCAAGAGAAAACTTTTTCTTGAGATAATTTGCTAAAACTCAAAGTGCTAGAATTTATGAGATGTTAGAATGGGAAATAAAACTGTCTTGAAGAAAGTCACATGAATGTGGGGCTCCCACACTGACTTAGGTCACAAGACCCTCAAAAATATATGATTTCTTCATAGTGCAATTTTTTGTCTCTCAAAGACATTCATAAAAAAGCAGTTTTTAAAGTAGTTTTATGTATTTTTAAATGCAGAAAGTCAGGACATATGGCTGTAATCCACGTTATTGTCATAGGCAGTTTAATTATAGGTTACCAATTGTATATTATTTGGTGGTAGCCAAGTTTTGCACATAAGTAACAGGGAACAAAAAATCATAAATTCGACATGAATATAATTCTACAATAATACCAAATATGGCTCTAACTCAACAAAGCATGTAAACCCATGTTTAATTTTAAGCATGTCTGTAATCCCAGCTCTATTTAACAAAGCTCTTAAACCCATGTTTAGGTGCTTTGCTGAATTACGGCCCTGGTCAGCGAAAGCTGTGTCAAGGCATTAAATTGTAAAACACAAGGAAGACACTTAACAGTTTTTTCTGTTATTAAGCATAAGCATTTACTAATCTTAGATCTTCTGACATTCTTTTTAAAGGATGGTATGCCATATTCTTCTTTGAGTGATTGCTCATATTGATTCCAATTAGGTGTGTGCGCGCCACGTGCAAAGTCGTCAGAAAGTTTTTCCCCGAGCAGCACCCGTCGGGTTGGCTGTGGAGCCCCCTGGAGTGGCGCCTTCTTAGTGCTCTATATATGACCCTGCTGACCCGGCGCCTTCTCAGTTCCTTCTTACCGCCAGTGATGGTCATTGGAACTGTGGCATCTTGCTCTGCAAGCTCTCCACATTTCCCTAGCTTCTCTTCGGAATGTTTTTATTTTGTAGTTGTTTAGTTCTTAGCACTGCAGACTAGGCAGTGTACACCTTGTCCTCAGGATAGATAGGTGGCGTAGTTCATGGCTGCAAGTCTCGGGGCTCCCGTCCGAGGTTCAGCAAACTATGCAAGACCTACCCTTTGAAGGGGTGAGCCTGTTTGCCAGACAGACTGACTCCAAACTGCATAGCCTCAAAGACTCCAGGGCGAAAATGAAATCTTTGAGTATGCATACACCAGCAACCCAACGAAAGCCCTTTAAGCCCCAGCTGCTGCAACAGCACCTGGTATCCTCCTTGGCCGAGGCAGGATATTTACAGGAGCAGGGGTAGGAATAGCAGGTGTAAGCAGGGGTGAAAGTAACTCCAGACTCTTACCAGTACGGGGCCGGGGCCAGCTCTGGCCCCCGGAAGGGGTGGGGGCTCGGGCGGAAGGGGCAGGGTTGGGGGTCAGCATCTCCCAGCCAGCCCTTCCCAGCTGCCTGGCCCATGCTGCCTGGGGCTCCAGTGGCATTTTAAAGGGCTCAGGGGCGTCCGGAGCCCTGGGCCCTTTTAAATCGCCGGCCCCGGGGCAGCTGCTCCCTTTGCCCGCCCTTCCCCACCTGTCGGTGGCCGAGAGGGGGCAAAAGGGGCAGGGATGT